TGCGTGTGATACCATCTGTTATATTTTATTTTAAAAATTTTATATTTTTAACTATAATAAAATGTCAAAAAGCTTAATTTTAAGGCTAGAGATGAGTTTTATAATAAATTGTAAATGCTAATAACAAGTAAAATTGTCATTAAGTCCGACTCTACTGAAGATAAACACGACCCCCCGTTTATTTAATCACTCCTCGATCTTTAACAACCAAAATTTAATAGCATCAATTCCCGTAATAAACAAACCTTCCTGCAAAATTTCAGAAATGTACGACAAAAAGCACAGGAATTATTAAGCTTCAAACAAGGTAACAAAATCGTGCTCCCCCACACACACAGTAACAATGAATACAAACTTTTCAGAATTTCTTCCGTATTAAATCTAACCAATTACTTTCGACTGAATTTCTAATTTCTTTTTCTTGTCCACTAGTGTAAAATGGATGATCCAAACACTGGTAGTCAGTCGAGGATTCGCACATCATCGATGGGCCAGCCACGTGGAGTTTACCGGGCTTTCTCTACGTCTCTAACACCTAAGAAGGGGCCAGTTTTACTCCCGATACGCATCTCGCCTTTACAAATTGCCCGTATGTTTCGTTACCTTACACTACACATCCCCCAATTCCTCTACTTATCTTCTATATTAACGTTTTTTCAGTATATTTTCTTATCTATAATACTGTGTATAAAACTCCAACTATTGTCTTTTTCTCTTCTCGTCCCCATCCGTATGGTTATCGGTATACCAAAGAATCGATATTCTTATACCATTTCTTATCTTATTTTTCTTTCCTACATCAATATATATGTCATTAACTAAACTTTCTCCTAATCAATTTTGCATTTATATACATAGAATGAATATATTATTTTACATGGAAAAACGAAAATTTTTTTTTTATCAGATATTACAATCGATGCCAATAAAAAAATTATTTCTTACTACAAATAGCATAATTTTTAAATATTTTTCATTAATTAATCGATTGTTTTGAATATTTTATATGAATTTTAACGATTTTCTATGAAATTATGGGGGAAATTTAAAAATGCTTACAGTTTGTAAATTTCATCTCTTTTGTGCCACCGCTGCCAATGGATAAAACCAAAGAACATTCGTAATTGGTAGCGGGTTCACATCTTACCAATAGCTTGGAGTTTTCCGGGTTTATTCACGTGTCTAACACCCGGTTAAATGTTTTTTTTTCCCCATTAAAAATCCTCTTGGGTTATTCCCACTTAGCAGATCGCCCACGTGTTGCATTGCCTCATCCATTCAAACCAGCCAATCAATCAATTATTTTCTTAGTAAATAAATAACGCTAAATATATATTTCCCAAATAATTAAATAAATAAAGATTACAAGAAATTGTCTGCATTAAAAATTTGATTGTAGTCGGTTAGAAAAAATATTTGAGTCCAGTGAAAACTTTGTAAGTTTCTAAACTATCTGTTTACAAAAATATTCGATGCAAATATTTAAAATTGTTGAAAAATACTGCGAATTTCTAAAATAATTTCAAACATTTTATTTGGAAAATTTAATATAACATTTCAGAAAAAAAAAATTAGAAAAATTTTCTGTAAGGACTAAATCAATTTTTCTGAAAAATGTTTTTTGTATAACAAATTTACTTATTTAGAGAATTGAATATCTTTTATGTAATCCAGTAAAAGTATAATTTCTTCTCCCTCGTAAATATAATTTATTGTTTAGAATGGATTTTTATATATATATAGACCTATAACTTATATCTTCCTTCTTATTTCCTGAATCAGTGTGAGAAAAATCAAACAAAAGCGAAGAGATATTGTTGTGTACATGTATAAAATTACAAATATTAAATTTTCCTTTCACATTACTTATAGGGTAACTCAAAAGTCAGTTAACTGAGATGTAATTTGGCTTCAATTTTCAAATTGCAAAATCTGTCGTCTGTATGTCTGTCCGTTTCTCCTGAGTTAATCTCGAGAACGAGGTTAGATAGATGAAAATCGAGACCAGATACGAAAAGCTTAACTATACGTATAGATTGAGATTCAAAATTTTTGTTTAAATTAAATTGTGACGATGTCACAATAACTAATTTCTATTTTCTTTATTGAAAGCAAAGAGCACTTCAAAAAAAAAACACCCCTCGAAAACGTTAATTGACTTTTGGGCCACCCTGTATATTATTTTCTCCCTGTTGAGATTTAAAAATACGATATATAAACGTGTTGAAATTACTTGAGTAGTGTTTTATAATTATAAGATTACGGTAATCACGTGGTAATTTCTGCAAAGTTTAATTTATTGGAAGGTTATTAAGCAATTTACAAAAAAAATTTAAATATTTAAATTTTTAAGTTTCGATTCTGCATGAATTATTTATCTGCAATTTGTTGAAAACTAATTTTTTTCCCCCTAAATTATTAATGGTATCATTACCAAAGCAATTCTTCCTAATAAGGGTTTGTAACAGCGTAATTGTAGCTTGGTAATATTTCACTGCAAATTACTTCTTGTCGTTTTACACGTGAATTTTCATTATTTAGAAAAATACGGTTTATTTTTGTAAAGACTTTATCCTGTAAATTATTGTACTTAATTCATTTAATTTTAGAGAATGGCACAAGGGATAAAAAGATGATAGAATGAGTACTTTTCTTCGTGTATCACATCATAGTTTTTAGTGGTTTCTATGTTGCTGAGCTAAATGCTGAATATGTAAAGGATGGTTTTATTTGCTAATTTGCTCTTCTGGAAATCTTCTCTTTATTAGAAGAAGAAAGGAAGAAAAAATAAGAGAAAGAAGAAATAAAGAAGAAGGAAGAGGAAAAAAGAAGAAGAAGAGGAAGAAGAGGAAGAAGTAAGAAAAAAAAAAGAAAAAGAGAAGAAAGCAAAAACTATATTGAATTAGCGCACACCGAATTTACAAACGACATAACACGGAAAATTTAAAGATTTTAAGTATTAATACTTGTAGAACATAGAATGCCTGGAAAATGTTTGCAAAAAGTTAGTAGAAGGAAGGCAATCAATGCATTTTATAAAAACCTTCTTTAAATCGATACAGATTCCAGTCTTCAAACCGCTTAAGAAACTTATTCTGGACTGTTTATAACGTTTGAAAGAAACGAAGAGTATTTACAAAAGTTTTCAAGCAAATTATCCAACATTTTCTTTAAAATTAAACGTTACAATCTTTTATTTACACCGTCAAGATTTTAAACTTTTTTTCACACTCAATTCTACTGAAGAGATAATAAAACAGTAGTAAAGCCGTGAAGTAAATTATGCAAAATTTTGTCAAGTAATTGAATTTGATAAAGCCGACTATAAAATTATCTCGCCTTTTAATGTAAATAAACTGCGAATTTCAATCCGCAACGTATTAAATTAACGACCAATAACTTGATAATTTTAATTCTTAACAATAAAATATTTTGAATTTTAATTAACGTCTTCTTTGTAAATCAGGCTTGTAATTAATATATTTACAGTGTTTGTAGTTAATATATTTTGAAATATAATATAAAAAAGTAAACTTATTTTGTATCTTATCTGTTTTTTATAATGAAAAAGTTTTTAAAACCAGATTTTTTCATGATTTTTTTATTTATTTTCATTTTTTTTCCGTGAGCACTAAGAGGGTCAGGACCATTTCTTCAAACATCACGAATACGTTTCACAATGATGCCCACTGTATGAACTATCAGGTGGTGAGGTATGGAGCCTCATGTTTCCGAACAGACAGCCTACGAAAAGTTTACGGAAATTTTCCACTCTTGGATTCGAACCTGGACTCTCCAGATCGGTCTTAACCGTTTCAACCATCCAGAAATTCGAGGCGAAATTCTCTAGACACCCGGAATTGTATTTGGGTGAGCAACTCTCCAGCAATTTTTCACGGCTCTCTTATTCCTGATATGTAGGCTCTATATCTCAACACCTGGTCATTCTTGTCGAATTCATAATTGGTCTGGAATGAGGCTCTCTTACTACCTACAAAGTGGAAACAGCTAAATATTAGAGAAAGAAAATGCCTTTAAAACTTTCGGTATCATTTTAAATATTCTTCATTTAGTTATTTATTTACAACCTATCTCTTTTAAAAGTATTTATAAATATCGTTTATTTTCTCTCATATAAATCATCTCTCGTTGAATACTTAAAGTAGTTTACAACAAAGTTTGATGTAATTGTAGAGAATGATTAATAAATAAATATTTATAAGTTTAGCGACTTCTACTGATGTTTATTACATCATTAGCAAGGCAGGCATTAAATGTATATATTCATTTCAGTTATACATCCTCCAGTGAACATCAACTTTGATTGAAACGCATTAATCGGTTGAAAGAAACAGATTAAACGCATTCAATATGCAATGACAAGATGGAATTATTAATTACTCTTTCGCTTTTATGAGATTAAACTAACATACAATTTGATTTATCACCTTGTACTAAGTATCCTCCTAGTATATGTACTGAAAGACTATGTAGGCAATATTGTTTAGAGTTATTGAATCTTCTTCTATGTCTTCTTGAAAGGTTTTATTTTTCACTTTGATTTCTATATTTGTTTGTTTTTCACTTGAAATAAGATATATATACGAGAATATAGAAATATTTCAACACTCGAGCAATAGAAAAGTATGAATCGATACTTAAGAAAATGGATATCTTTCAAGGTTTTTATATTAAACAACTTCTTGATCGATTTGTCTTCCAGGTATGCAAAACAGAAACAAAGAAGTTATTAAGTGGCACTCCCTGGCTTATTAATTTTTCAAATATGTTCTTTTATATATATATAAAATCATACTTTTTAAGTTTAAAAGATGTTTTTTTATGTATATACTAGACGTTTTTCTTGCTGGATATAACTCTCAGCTGTTAGAAGTGACAAAGAATAAAGGTTAAAAAAAAGTAAAAAAAAAGTACTTCAGAGTTAATACGAAGGTAAATTAGATGAGAAGTTAATAATTAAGAATAGTTGTAAGACCGGCAGACATCGAAACAATTATTTATTTTCTCATTGAATAAATCGATAGAAGTTACAAGGCAATTTTACACGTCACAACGCAAATGTGCACCGTCTTCTATCGCCAGGTAGAGAGAGAGAGAGTATTGGTCCTCATCTCGAATTTTGAAGAAGTTATATATTTATTTCTTTATTTTTTTTCGTTCAGCCTGATATGTTTCCGGATATAAGGCTTATAATCTATGGTCCCCTTATATTTTTAGCTGTGTTTTTGGGGTATTGGATTGGTCCCAAAATATAGAAATTCGGTCAATTACTACTGAAATACTTCCACTTAACGGTTTGACTTTCGCTGATTTATACAGGATTTAGCTTCTATTGCAGGAAAAGCGATAATAATTTAAAATAATGAAAAATAATAATAATAATAATAACTGTGCAAAACCGAAATTGAATTGTCAATTTCGACTTTTTTTTTATAACCTTAAACGGGTGTTTTGCTGCTCTACCAGGCGTTGAAACGGTCACCACGAGGACATTTATGAATAAATTAACATAACAGGCAATTTTTTTTAAATCGTTGTTTAAACAAAGATTATCACGAGATCGAACAATCTTCTTCGGTTGAACTTCCGTGACTCGATCCCCCTACACCTTCTTTTAATTTTGCTATCTTCCTGCTGGTTCTTCTTATCAAGCTTCTGCTTCTCGGTTTGATCTTTGGTGACGAAACAGTGGGCTCCTCTGAAGCAGCTTGCTCTCTCTGAGGGCTCAAACTAGCATTGAATCTTGCTTGCCTCCCTACAGTAACGTGGGCGCTCGATCTCCTTCTCAAACTAGTCGTATCTGCAGATAACGGGATTTTAGAAAGTTGAAGGAACGACTTGAATATCTCTCGAATGTTGACATTATCTTTTGCGGAACATTCCATCAACTTTGCTCGAATGCGCGGGAGTTCGCAAAACATCCATTCGGCCACGTCCTCTTTTTTAATTCTCCTTTTTTCTTCCAAATCTAACTTATTTCCAACCACCATGATCGGAATTTCTTGGTAATCCGGCTTCTGTTCTCTTACTTCTTCGAAACATTGCTTCATCATGTCAAAAGAGGAAGGATCTTCGATTGAGTATATCAGTAATACAGCTTGAGCATTGGCTATGGATAACCGCCTCATAGCAGGGAATTGTAGATCCCCTGCGGTATCTACGAAGTCCACTTTGAGGGTGATTCCAGAAAACTCGAATTTTCGATTGTGGAAATCTTCTACCGTCGGTTTATGACGTTCACAATAGGTGTTATATAGAAAGCGCTTGACGATCGAAGTTTTTCCCACGCCACCGCCTCCAAGTGTCACCAAACGGATGTGATATTCGTTGTCATCTGACATTTCTCTGGCTTAAAATCTGAAAGATAAAGAAAGATGCTTACTCCAAGTGAAGAATACGGAGAAAAATATCATAAAATTTAAATAATCGACTAAGTAAAACTTGTCCTCTTCGTATTTACATATTAACTATAGTGTTATTCTGTTACCAAGTCGACTTACAATCCAAAGGCATATGGCTTCTTAACATTCAAAATATTCTATTAGCATAGAAATTGATAGAAGGACGGAATATCTTATGGAAAACTGGCGTATAGGAAATAAGATATGGTTTGTGGGAATACGTGAACAACGATAACAAAATGAACAAAGGATAAAGAGATAAGAAAATTGACTGAGATGGATTATAAGAAAAATATATGACATAAAAGAAATAGGATTAAAACCATATTTCTTCTTCTCTTGTTATTTCTAGATTAAACTAATGTAGCGCCTGTTCTAACAGAGCATAGAACATTAGCTTATTTATTTATTCTGTATAAAAATAAATATACGTGTATTCTTCCATAAATTCTTTACATTGCTTAAGTTCTTTAAATTTAACAGACCATCATAACCGAAGAAGACAGGGTTATTTCTATGAAAGACAAACTGAAGAGAAAAACAACATAAGACATATTAAACTGTATTTCTCTTCTTTGTGAAAAATAAATAAAGTTTGCTCTACAATAATTGATTATATATTATATATTATTTACTAATCAATTCTATGTCTGTACATCTATAGCTCTACGTCAGCGGCGCGTTATCCTATGGGCAAAAAGAGCAATTGCCCAGAGCCTCCCCATACCAAACCAATCTTTTATTAGATAAAATTTCCAAAATATAAGAAAAATGTCGAAAGTCAACACTGTACACAGGGCTTCTTAATTTAAATTTGCCTGAACCCAATGAAGCTATAACGCTCCACTGCTCTACGCAACCTTTTTTATTGGTGAAACGTTTCTACCTCAACCATGTCCGGATTGAAATTTTTCTTAGAAGAATCCTTAAAATATTAACGGATAATTGATTAACTTATATTTAACAAAATAAATGTTTATATACTATGGTCTAGCATAAAAATGACAATTTTATTTCTTTCATCACCTGCCATTTTTGACTTGTACTCAATAAATTGAAAAGAACAATATAAAACAAATTTTCACAATAATTAAAACAATGTGTTTGTAATTTAAAAGTGTTACAAACTGTTATAATTCCTACAAAATTAAAAATAGAACGAACAATTGCTTATTGTGATGTCGTTACAATGGCCGACTGCAAATTTTAACCACATCTTAATTTAGAAATAAGCTTTCCATACCTGGTCTCGATTTTAATATATACACCGTTTTCGACTCGAGATTAACGAACAACGGACGGTCGGACGGACGGACTACAGTGTAAATCACTATAGCCCAATCTATAGTTTGAAAATTGCAGCCCAATAACATTAAGTTTTGGCAACATTGCGACATGGTCATTATAACAAACAGACGGAAGTTTGCACCACTCGATAACCATTAATTTTATAGCATTCTAAATTTTAATCTAATGAGATTTTGACCCCTCGAATTTTTGATCACGTTCCAATTTTAAGCAATGGGGTAGTTTATCCATTTGTATGGATACAATTAACAGAAGAAGAGTCAGAAAATTCTCTCAGATATAGTTAGCAACCTCTAAGACATGGGATTATCTTAGATGCTGACACGAACAGAAATCACTTTTTTATCTTAGATAAAATTCTAAGCCGTTTCTGTTAAAATCTTTAATATTCTTCTGATGATAAGCAGCTTTATGAAAGAATTATTTATTACTAAATTAAGTAGTTAAGGTAGTAGAATAAACTTTATATAGAACGAGTGTACATCAATACTACTCTTGAAAATGGATGAGCACCATTTTAACTGAGAAACTGAGTGGCAAGCAAAGCAAATTATGTCACTCTCCATAGATGTAAATTTTAGTTTAGATGGAAAAAATAAAGGATTTGCTTTTTCTACGAAAGAAAATCGACCAGTACCGATTTCAACTTCCTGTCGATCAATCACTCGCTGTTCCGCTTGTCGACAGCATTTACTTTCCAGCAGTTGACTAACTTTAGTTTTTCTTAAACGACAGGTAAGACATTTCTTTATGATCAATAGCATAAGGAGAAAAGGGTTGCATTCGGATTCGATTAATGTTAAGCTTAGATCGATAACACGTTTAATTAATTCAACAACTTGCCAATAGATACTTCGGAGGTCTTGCCATTGAATAAGATAGTAAGCGACATTATTATACCACAGAATTCATGATAATTAGATTAAAAGTTAAAAAAGAGATTTTTCTACACTGATTAAACGTTAATTTAGATCTTAATTGCTGTTTTATTTATTTATAAAAAGAAGTTTTTTTAAACTTTTACGTAAGAAATAATTAATACCGTTTTTTTCTTGTATTTTACTGTACTGCTAACTTTTGATATTCACGAAGAAATAAAATTAAAATTATTTTTATTTATACGAAAAAATAAAATAAAATTATATTAATTTAGTTTACAAAATGCTTATAAATTTGTATTATATTCTAAAGTAAGTTGGTGGCGCTGCTAAAAAACTGTTGTGCCATCTGCTTCTTGCAGCGCCATCTGCGCCATCTGCACGTTTGTCTTTAGTGATCCTGTTAAAAGAGTCTTACGGGGCTCTTTCGTATAAAAGGAGCCTTTCATATCCTTATAATAAATTAAGTTTTCATATTAAATCTTGAGATGTTTTGTCTTCTGCTACAAACAGAAGAGAAAAACTTTCTGCTAATGTAAAAATGTCTTAAAAAAGACATTCTCCGTTGAATAATTAAAGAGATTCTTCATAATATATATATAAGAAATAAAATCCCTTGTGTTAATGGAATACATCAAAGAATTAGCAGGAACTCGCATCGTACTGAAGACAAAGGAATTATATATAATTTCAGATATAAGGAATAAATATATTCGTGATTTTGATGGATAACCAACAAGTAACATTTTAATATTTTTAACATGCTTCGAATATAAACTTTATACAGATTTATTTTTCAATAGGAAATCGATGAAGATTTCCGTGTAATATGATGTGTTTTTTTTTATTTTTTTACATACTTGCAGAATAAATCAATGTAACAAGTAGAAAAAGTGTAATAACAGGTTGCAATAGCAAGGTTCAATTCCTCAAACGAACCTCAATATATATTTTAAAAGAAATGAAGTAAATTTTATAACAAAATATTAAAATTTATAAAAAATACTTTAAATCATGACATGCCCTTTCTATGATAAGCCCTTCCCTTCCATATAATAGGGAAAGGGCCTATTAAATATTATAACTTAGAACTACAACGAGTCTATGTCCAGTCTTAGATAATTTTAAATGATTTTATATAAAACTGTAAAAACATGTAAAACTGCGAGGCCTCAACCCATAGATCCAGGCCTTAAATTGCGGTTTGTTTAGCTAATGCCCAAATCCGGCCCTGAACTTATCCATATTTTATTAAAGTTTTTACAATATTTCACTCATTATAATTACTTACTACGAATATTTTAATAATTTATCATTTATAAATGTAATTAAGTAACAAAGTCCGAACGTAAAAGTTTATTTAAAACTCAATATTCTTTAATTTTATAGCGTTTAAACAAATACTGCAATTTCTCTTTTTATCATCTAGAAGCGTAATATCGAAGCTCCAATTAATTTTAATTAACGAGTAATTTAGATATATTGATAAACTGTAAAACAAAATAATATTATATATGTGTTTTATATAAAAATTTCTTAATAAAGTACTTATCCAAGTTGCAAATCGACTAGTTTTGTAAGTAGCAATCGATTTTTGCGCTATCATTATAAAAACATCTTTGCAGCTGGAAAATGGCACTGGATAATGACTGCTATAACAAAAATGCAATTAGGAACGTTTACGCCTAATTTCCTAGCTTGATGTGTGATATGTAAACAAATTCCTAAAGTCAATTTTGCTAGGATAAACAGTTTCATCCAATTTAAAGCATCTAGTAAATTATTTTATGTCCTTTTCTGAAGATCAGGTTACATGTCTGTTTTCTTACAGTTAAGAGAGACTTCCCAACTCTATATATTGAAGTTAACGCTAGTTAGTAAAGCTTAATATCGATCTAATTCTAGTAGCTTGTACTTATATAAATACGAAAAATTTATTGTAGTAAACATTAGTTTTACATCGTAAACTGGGCCATTTAATTATCACAAATTAAAATTCGCAAACACAAGAGGGGAAGCGCTCTTGAATACAAAAAGTGTATTTATAATTTTTTCTCATCGCTCACCACAAGAAAAGTCACATCGGGAGTTGGTTATTTGGGAATACAGCAATACAACACGCGAAAGGACAATCTGCCAAGGGAGAAGTTTCCTCATAGGGACTACCTCACTTAAATAGGAGCTAGTTTCCTTATAGAAAGGCCTCCCGGATTTTTTGAAGGTCTCATTTTGTGACGCAATGAAAACCCTTCGAAGTTATGTTTTCTATCGAAGGTTTTCCAGGTTTTAAGGAAGTTTATCGAAACCACATTTTATGATATGATGAAAACCCTTTAAAATTAAGGGTTTCTATGAGAAAAGTAGCCCATATTTAGCTATTAGACACGTGAAACAAAACCCGAAAGCGTCAGGTGGCACATCGTTGATCAGGCTCAAACCCGCAACCTAGTACAGTAGAGCGTCGATTGTCCGAAAGTCAATCATCCGAAAGAATTCCAGTGGGCAAATTTAAATTTTCGCCAGTGCTGTGGCGCTGTAATCTTTGGCTATGTCTTGGGCTACTCAAATATTTTACGTTTTTGATACTAAATTAACTTCTGAAGTATAATTTTTTATTGTTTTTATATTTTTCAATATATTTATTTTGTTCGNCTGGTTAAGGTCAATTAGAATGTTTACCGAAAATATTCTTTATAAAAATAAAATATAATTATACGCTTTAAATCTTACTTACCTGAGTAGTATTTTTTTATATTAAATAATATTAAAT